CTGCGCAAAACTTCTCAGAAGAGAGAAGAGGACGCATAGAAAAATAGTTCGGAGAATCGGAGGGAACCTCGGTCGGCATGGTAAGAATGCCCCAGCATCTCCTTGACCTAGCACCTCAGAAGTAAAAAAAAAAAAAAAAAAATAGATGCTTTCGGATTTTTTTTTTTTTGGGGGGGGGGGGGGGGGGGGGGGGGGGAGGCGGGGGGGGAGGCGGGGGGGTGGGGGGGGACTATTTTTCAAAAGATGTATCGAAATACATTTCACCCTGATTGTATCGCGATACAAAGAAACATTCCAAATGTATTTCGATACAGGAATACAGATACTGGTGAAAAAAATGTATCGCAATACAGAAATACAGATACGAAATGTATTTCTGAAATACTATCGCGATGCATTTGTACCGCGTTACTGCCCAACCCTGCTTAGAACCATTGCTTTTTTCTTTGTTTATAGGTAATATAGTCTAAACTGAGGGTAACACCTTATTTATCATTTATACCGACGATACTAGCATATTTGTTTCAGGGAACAACATTGATAGATTAGTTGCCGATGCAAACATATGTCTGAAAAAACTTAGTTGATTGGCTGCCTCAAATTCCTTAGAAAAAAAATGAAATTAAGACAAAAGCCGTTATTTTTAAATCAAAAGGTACAGTGTCCAATGATACTGAAAAGTTAATGTGGAACTCTTCGAAAGCTGAATTTGTAAGCACTATTAAAACTTTAGGCGTAATTTTTCATGAACATATGCTATCAGACTCCTATATTCAAAAATTTTCACTAAACGTCCCGAATACCGCAGGCATTCTGTATTAACATCGCCATATGTTACCATCTAGTGTTAAACTTTTAATTTTTAACCTATTGTTCAATTCTCGTATACCCTATGTCATCTAGTGTAGACAATCATGGCCAGTAAAAACCTTAATAAACTTTTTTTTTATTACAGAAGAAAGCAATACGAGTCGTAACCAATGCGTCGTATTATGTACACACTGATCCCCTTTTTTATAAGCATAAAATAATAAAGAAATACCAGAATATTACCAATATAAGCTTGCTACAGTATAGGCGGCATCGGTGCAATGTTTTAGCCATCCATTACCCCGGTTTTCTGGACTAAGTGTTAAAAATATGGTATATGGAGTACGTAGCGACGGATCCCCCTGGAGAGTACCTCGTCCTAAAACAAATTATGAGCTTCAAATGGTACAGTATACACTGCAAAGCGTACTAAACTTTTTAAAAGACCAACATGTTTGTATTGATGCATTCGATAAGAAAACAATACGCAAAATGTTTACCTCTAACTTTTAAAATTTTCTATTGCATGGCACTGCCTGTTTCGTTCAGTCTTTGAAATGTTCGGTTGACTTTTCCTGCCTGCAGATATGTCATTAGGAAGCAGGGGTTTCGTCAAGCTGCACCTTTTGCAGCTCTTTTACCTGTTTCCGTCACCCATATATATGATGGGAGTAAATAAATGAACTTAATCAAATTGAGTTGACCTCTAGCGCTGCATTTGGGAGCAGAATAAGCGTTAGGCGATGCATAATTTAGTTTTCCAGTGAAAAAAAACACACTAATCTTTTGTTTTTGCATTGGAAACGATATTTATAATGAGAAAGAAACTGAGGACGCTTCAGAATAAAAAAAAAATAAAATAAAAAATAAACGCTGCATTTCTAAGGCCCATTCACTCAGGCCTTTCTGCTCACAATTTCTCACTTTACGTTTTGAATCATCGGGACGTCCGTACTTCGAATATCGCGTGCAGAGTTTCTTCTTGAATTGCAAGTAATGTAACGTAAGAAAACAGGGTGGCGTGAACCAGCCTTTAGAAATATATTTATGTGAGAGGTGTAAAAATGTACGCTCCATTCTTGTACAAACAGCATTTTGTTTTCTGCATGCCGTCGTGTCATAATAAATACCGTAAGTACTGAAACAGTTGGAACGATGGTGCAATGCGCCTCCTTCTCCCTGTAGATCACTAAGAGTCAGAAATAGCTAGGAAAACAAAAGCGACGTGTGGCACTGAGTAGGACATTTCACGAGCTCACGCTGTGATCAGTCTTACATTGCGGACCCCACTTATTCGCCAGAAATAGTTTTTTGTGTATTTATTTTTCGAGTTATGCCTTTTACTACATTTTCGAAGGCTGATTGGTTGTCTCGAAGGCTCTACAGGGAAATTCTAGCGCGTTCAGAATCCACGAGACTTGGAGTACGATATTTTCTTCATCGCCTATCACATAGGGTGTCTGCACAAGTCGTTAAACTTGCAGGAAGAAACATGCAGATTTCGACTAGTGTTTATTATGCTTATACATACTTTTTTGTTTTTGTTCCAGGCAATTTTTTTCTGTAATATTTCTTTGAGGTAAGCTTAGTATCACGGTAGTCCTAAATTTCCCTTCGCGTAAATCACGAATACATATGTGAGCGTCTTGAGAAGTAATACGTGTGCTGTTCTTTATTTTCATTAATTAAATATCTGCAGCTTGATAGCATATACGCTCTCCTCCCCACGAAAAAAAAAACAAGTAAAGAGAAAAGAATAAAGAGAGAAAAAGTGCCGTTTTGAATGTTGCCTTTAGCTTTTAAATGTTACTCGCGAGCTCTTTTGTCGCTCCGATGCTCTTGATTGATGTAGACTTTGTGTATTTTTTAGCCTTTTGTGACGTACTAGGTTCTGTTTCGACGAATGATCACTAGCGAAAGAAGTGAACAACTTTGCCACCACTGAGCAATCTTTATCGTCATAGAATGTATCTAAGAACTGTTACGCATGGATCGAACAACATAGGGTGCCGGACGTCAAGCAATCGAAGGACAAATCGAAATGTAAATTAATTGTCGAAAACTATATGCATGTGTTCACTATTTTACCCACTAAATTGAAATTGAATAAAAAATAATTCTCAACTCGAGCATCATGAACATTGAACACGAGCAATAAAACTGTGCGAGGAACTAACCTAACACTAAACACAACTGGAGAGCGGATTATCCAAATGAACTTTAGCTGTATTATAAGTCAATGCGAATTGACCATGATATGTTAAAAATTACGGAAGAGCCGTTTTCATTGGAAATACCGACGTGTTCAATAGCACAATAAAAACTCGAGGGCCTCCCCGCCAGAAAGTATTTTAATCATGCTGTATTTTAAACGGGTGCTCCGACATTAAGCCTCCTCGAGATTCGAGGGGAGAAGATCCCAGCTGCTGATTCCGTGGCACCGTCCCGTGCTGCTATTCTGAGAAACTTCCGCAACTCCCTGCACTTCCTTTTATTGTCTGAAAGTGTTTTTTACGCAATAGGTGCGCAACCGCACCGCCGAATGGTGGAAGCTCACTCCACCTTTCCCTTCCCGCGTGCGACGGGCACTGGGACCTCTGATTGCGAGACGGCACATACTGCTCACTTTGAGATGGTGCGCGACGTGCGGGGTTCTCAACACGTGATTGTTTGTCAGTCCCGTATGCGAATCTGGAGTGTCCGCTGCAGATGATGAATTTGGCAGGGTACAGCACTACTAATAGCCTGGCGGTTTTTATCGTCCATCACGAAGTTGTGATCGGGAGCGATAAACACGGATAACGTGTTCTTAAAGATGGGCTGAAAATGTATCAGCGAAAAAGCGACGTTGAAAATGATACTTGTATACTAAGGAATGCTACAAAATCCGCTTTGCAGTCTTCTTGATCACCCCAACAGCTAACGTGACTTTCTGCAGGATATGGTTGTAGTACCTGAAGTTTCTTTTAGTGGTGAGGTGCAGCACAACGACGTTGGAATATAAGATACTACAGAACCGCGCCTATAATTTACGTGAGCGTAATCATGACACATTTACATGAGTTACTTTTCTGTGCATTTGACTGCCTTGCAGAGGCTTAGGTCCTCATACGGCTGCGAGTTACAATGACGCGTTGCTTTAATTAGTTGCGATGGTAACTCACCAGCCGTATTTTGACTTAATAATTCAGAACATAGTTAAAACTTAATGTATTTAATATGACTTAACTTTATTCTATTTGCAAAGAAAATCAAAATGATAAAATCTTTACTTCAGGGGCATCGGATTTATGGTAATGAAGTCACAGCTGAAACGAGCGTACATTCTAGGCCACACTGGATGTAACGATGACTGAGTAATGTCATCCAATTATTTTTAGTTTGCAATTATATAGATATGTCGAGTGACCTAATCAAGGGCTATTACAGCGTACCTTGCACAGTGAAAGCTTCGATGTTTTTGATAATATTCTCATCATCATATCTTTAAATATCTTCCCAATAACTAATATTCATGCATCTAAAGTATACAAAGTTACTTATCATGAAAACAATAAATTACATTTTTTGTGGAACTGATCATCGTAAACAATCGTTTCATTACATTGTTATTACAAAGGCACATCCACTGGGGATTAGGAAACGTACCCGAGAAACGAAGGGCCAAACAACCTGCTAATAAATATATATAAATATGTATGACTGCTCCGGTTTCTTCGCCACCAGCCGACAAATGTCTGTGGGTGCTATTGCCATCCCACCTCTGTGACCAATCAGGGTAAGATTAGTTTAAGGAATCTATAGACAAAGTAGCAAAGTAAAAACCACGAGGTTTACACACGAATAAGCGGCTTCTTAAGGAAATGAGATGCCAGTTAATAACACATGCGCAAGAAATCACCTAATTTGGCACAACTTTGAGGCGTGTCTCTGCAGCCGGCGGCCACGGTCGAGTGCTTGCTTCCCCACACCACTGGGCAGATTAAGCGAGCGCGCCTCTCAACGTGTAACCTTCACCGTAATGGAGTCACGCGACAGCCGAAGGCCCTGCTCAGAGGCATCCCTGTTGCGACACAGTTCCGTCCTCCTCCCCCTCACACACCCACGACACTGGCACTGTGCCAGTCGTTCACGTCCCAATATTTACACGCCACAAAAAGCGCGCGAACACGCAAGCTCGATTTAAAATAACTGCCGCTAAGGGGGTTGCCGGCAGAGTGCGGCAGGGCGACTCTGGCAGACTTCCCGGCGTCCTTGGCCCAGCTGGAGGGACTTGCGAACACGCCCCCCCCCCCCCCCCCCCTCTCTTCTTCTTCAGCGGAAAGCATCTCTTCTCTCTTCTTGGTGTTTGGGACAGCAATAGGACCCCGCGGGACAGCGAGATGGCGATGTCTCTTGAGCTGACCATCCTTCAGCTGATCTGTCTCTGCCTGTCGGTGGCCGTCGTCGGTGCGAGCAGCGACGCTACTTATGCCCGGTGGTTTCACGGGACCAACAGTAGGCGCCTTTTGGATGAGGCCCTCAAGGGTGACGAGCCCGTGTTCCTGGAAGCGGACGTGGTTGTGGAGGGTAGCATGGCCGTCCTGGAGCACCCTCTGGATCAGCCCTGGGACTTGAGTCTCCGGGACCTGCTGAACCTGGTCACGGCAAAGCCCAAGAGGGTTACCCTCAAGCTGGACTTCAAGAGCACCGAGGTCCTTCCGTCGGCCATCAACGTCCTTATGGGTGCTCTGACAGAGGTGAGGAACGCAACTTGGGACGATCGTTCGGACAGGAGCGCTGCATGAGCGTTCGACTGGGACTCGCCTTTCCACTGATTGAACTGAGTTCAAGCCGAATAGTGACCCAGCACTTCTGTCCAATCTGAGATTAGCGCTTATAAGGTGACGTAAAAAGTTTAGCACCAAGGACTTGCTATCTAGGGAGTGTTGTGCAAAAAAAGAAAAAACGTATCCGGGAGCAGTTTATCGCTCCTTTTCCGGAATTAGCGACAAACATCAGCGTGTTTGTGAGTAAGTGGCATAGTATAGTTGGACATGGTCAGGGAAAGAAAATGTTTTATTCGTTCTTGCGAGTCGAATTTGCTAAGTGCTGTGCTGTACTTTGATGCTGAGTTAATTGAATAAAACGTTTATTTTAGCTTTTAGAAATTGATACCCAAGGCAGTAATGGATGAACACAACGCAGAAATGTATTTAAGAAAAATGAGAATATAAAAAAAAATTGATGAGGTTAAAACAATAGAGCTGACGGCAAAACAACAAAACAAACCGATACGACCTGCCGTCAACACAATTAACTATGAAACATCCGCTGAACGCTCATGGTGTTGCCGTCAGGGGATATTTTATATTCCTCGGGTAACGTTCATCTAAGCAATACATTTGTTATTGTTACAGATGTAATGATGTTGACTTTAATATTTTAGGCATGGGACATTTTTTAATGGTTGTCCTTAAAGTTTCTGAACAAATTTTCGAACACTTTTGACATTCATATCCAAAATAATTACAGAGATAAAAAAGTAAGAGAGAGAGAGGGGGGGGGGGGCATATCTTGATGTCTAACAGCGTCTGCGCAGTTAGACGAAAAGGAAGAACATATACTGAAAGCTAATAATTTGTAAACATATATCGGTATTGCGTGTCTCGAAAAGTTTATACTTAATGCTTGAATGTAATATGCTAAACCTGTGTCTGTCTATGTAAAAGGAGGTGGTGGGTGCTTGGACCAGCAACATTAAACATTCGGCTTTTAATTGGAGTGAAGTATTATTTATGAAGTTCGTTCTTGCATCTCAACACTCCATATGATTAAATTCATCAAAGCAAAACTTTAAAATAATGATAATTAAGCACACATTTACTGAAAGTTAATTCGGTTGAATAACCTAAGTATTGTTCGATGCGCCTGCAGAAAATTATGTTTAGAACTGTCTGACGTGTCATGAATATTACCAATATTCAACGTTTTTCAAATTTTTTTGTGCTCAATTATTCGCCTATAAATTCTATATTTTATAATGATAGTCTGGACACGGATTGTTACAGGAAGGTCCCTTAAAGAAAAAGGTATATAAAAATACTCTCATTTCATATGGCCATGTATATGTCCTCTGAAAACATCACCCAATTTAACTATAGCAATACTAAAAAACCGTGACGCGAGTTATATCTTCAAAATACAAGAACTACATGCGAGAAAGAAAAAAAAACACATACAAAAAGTACTAAACTATTTTAAAATTTGTATCGTCTAGTTGTTTTGATGGCAACAAAACTAGCGACCGGTTTAATATTGAGGTTACGGGGTATTTTGTACTGGTGGAATCGTGCAGGTGCACAGAATCTCCAAAACCTAAAATTTCCAATCACGAGTTGTATATTACAACCAGACTCTACCATCGCTTATAAAAAGAGATAGAAAAAAAAATAAGTGAACACTTACGAACGTGTACAAAGAAGGCCATACACGCCTAAGTGGAAAATTACTCTTGCCGACCACGAAGTATACCAGGCGGAATGAGTTAGCAAATACGGAAGACGTGTTTGCCACTTCCTTATTTAAATCGTTTCGTGTGCGACTCGCTTCTTCAAATTGCTTCTGGACGCACCGCCCTCCCTAGTACCACCGAATTGTCTCTTCCTACCTTGTTATTTTTCAAGAGGCGGTCCATGTTTGAAACGTCCGTCGTGTTTTTTGCGTTTGCTTGTCTCGATTTATGCCGAGTTACGAACCAATTTGTCACAGTAGCGGTTGCATACCCGAAGAACCGGTTCCTCCCCCGTCCTATTCGTCGGTTTCCTCGCCATGCAGGCGTGTGTGGGTGGAAAGCCGGCCGCGCGAATGTTGTGATGCAAGTCGGAAGTCTCTCTAAAAATAAAAAGAAGGCGAAGAGAGAGAGAGAGACAGAGAGGCGCACTGCGCAATAATTAGCCGCACAAGTCCGTCTTTCTTTTTTTTCTTCTTTAAATTCGTCCTCCGTAGCCGTTGCGCTCTAATTACGTCTCGTGTTCGGAGAAGGATGTTATCGCAAACTCCGCCCGGAATTAAATAATTACGGGGATTGTCGAAACTGAGGGCCAGCCAAAGAGCGCGGCCGTGGCGACATCGGCGTCTCGAGCTTTCTCGCGTGTGTGCAAACAGTTGGGGCAGCTGTGTACGGGAGCGCGCACAGCAACCAGCACTTGGATGTCACAATCCAACAAGAAAAGCACCGCTGCTCTGCTTTTTTATTGGTAGCGAATCCGAGTTCATCGCTCTTATGCAGAACGTGCACGTGACGTCATCGCCTCGTGATGGTGGTCCTTCTGGATTATCCCCCCTTACTTATTCCCACCGATAAAACCAAAGTCGGTTGTGCGGAATGCACGCAGAAGGTGCGCGCTCAGCAGCAAGACCACCGCAATAGACACTGATGCGCATTTCGACATCAGTGCAAGCCACGCATTTGTCTCCTCCAGCGAGTCATTCATGAGCACCTTTTCACAGCTTGATATTTTTTTTTACCGCCTGGTGCTGCGAAACGTTGAGGCGCTAAATGCTAACTAAGAGCATTTAGTACAAAAACATAACTAACCACGAGTAATTTGTGTTTTTGCCACTCTCACAGTACACAGCAGCAACTTTATTAACATTCGCTTCATAAAACTTTGTGGAAATAAAACAGTAGTGACACAATCGGTGACTCGTCTTCATAAGAAATAAACACACGCACTAAGAAGTAGCTAAGGGAACACTAAATTGAGTGGTTGTCCCGGAGCACACGCACAACTTACATATGACTTTTATTCACGTCATGGTGATTCTAATAATCACTATTACGTAGGAGATCCTTTTGTCAGACTCTCTTGGTTTATTCAGATTACTCTCTTTTTTATGTCTACCATCTACACTAGATTAAAGTTGCCTATAAAAAAAACAACTCTGAAATAATTGGCATAATTCCCAGCTTCAGTTCACAGTTCCTCCAGGTTTTCTGTTTAGTCCACGCTGACCTCGTTTTAAATGTGTTTGTCGACAGAATAAAAAAACGCTAACAGATAATAAGTTGCTGAAATACTTCAATGGCTTGTGCGAAGTACTTATTGTCATTCAGCGCACGTTTTACTTGGTAAAACAATCAAATTATTGGCCTTTGGCTCGCGTTGTTTTGGCGTGTTGAGACTTTAAAAAAAATGTACGCTCGCAGTTGTGACGATCTTGCTACTGCATTATTTCCGCTTGCGAACCAGTCCCAGTGAGCGGCAGAATACGCACGACACATGCAGCCTCTTTGCGGAGCGCCGTCTGCTTCTTTTGCAGGGGTTGTGGTTTATTATTTGCGGTGAGGAAAACACGAACTGCTTTTTTTTGGCCGACACTTTGCAGTAAACATCTGTGCGGCGTCGGGCAGGACGGAGTGCCCGGGCCAATCAGTTATTCCGGTCGGATCGGTTCTAATTTTTGAGACCGTCTCTCAGACATGACCAGGCGATGCAAGATTCGGTATCCGTGCGTAAAGCGATCGGGAACCACAAGTGTGTCGCGCTGAGAATATTAGACGGAGGGCAGCAGCAGCACGAGAACATGCGAAGTGCGCAGGACCCCGAGTGCCACGGGCCAGAGGCAGCGCGTAAGCGCCTTTCGCACATCTCCTAACGCACATCTCTGACAACTATCCTACTGCTAGCAAAGCTCCTGAATCAAATGTACTGAGGCACACCACTTAACGACACAAAAACCGATGCAGTGAATCACACCACCCTGTGTTGTGTCGTTCGCAACTGTTTTATTTTTTTTTTTGCTTGAAGGCCGTTATTTTTGCGTGCTCCGGAACGAACAGCGAGTGTAGCTAGACTTGTAGAGGAGCGTATGCCACTTGGTGATTGGGTAATTTTGCTGTCTATTGTAAAGTGATATCAGCAATGATATTCTACATTATTTCAATTCAAATATTGTTTTTGTTTTTATTGGCTTTATATAAAGCGGAGAATACACTTTTTGTAAACAACTGCATTTTTTGTTTATTATAGTAGTTGCATTGTGGTCATCTTGCCTGCCTGGGGTCAACAAGGAACAAGCACAAAGTTAAACTTGATGATTCTACAAAGTTAAACATGATTATACAAAGTTAAGCTTGACTGATATTTCAGCAGATACTATATACAGAAAGTTAACAAAAAAAAAAAACTTTCTGGGTTGGTGTGGTTCGTGTAATTGGAAACAAAGATTTCCAATTACACGAAAAAATAAGTAGCGTTCACGTGAATTTCGGGCCCGCTTGTTTCTTGGTCGGGCTGAGACTGAGCAGATTCAGAAAAACACAATTTTCGATCGTGTCAAATTTTAGGTAGACGTGAAAACAACATCAACAAAAAAAAAAAAACAACTATATGGTGTCTCTAATGAATCTTACGCTGTAAAACGAGCCGTTAAAATCGACGCCTGTACATAGAAGGTTGAAGCTTTCACCGAATGGGCCTTGAGGTGTTGCATTTTTTAGGTGATGATAGTTTAGGGCATAGCTCTCGTTCTGTGAAAAATGATACCAGCAAACTTCTCAGGTTCAACTACGGACGGGTTATCAGACGAATGAGTTAGCGATTCTTGTAACATGTGGGGCTATATCCTGATAGACTTAGTGAGCAGATGACGCAATATGTTGTCTGTTCGCTGAACCTTTCGGGAGATGGCGCCATGCGTTACTGGCATCGCTAACTCGATCATCTGCGAATCCGTCTGCCTTTAACCCCGGCAGGGTTGTGGTATCATTTCTCACTGAGAAATAGCTATGTCTAACACTTTGAACAGCTCTAATACACTCTAATACAGAACCTCGAAGCACATTCGGTGAAATTTTGAAATTTATATGTGAAGGTGTCGTCGTTTCCGGCAGGTTTTAGCGCTAAAGATACACTGAAGCCACCCTTTATATCAGCCATATTAATAAGAACGAGATATGCATAATGGGCAGCGTGTTTCGAGCTGCGCTGGTTGTTTGTTTATGAGCTTTCTGGGCTCGGGAGTCCGCTTTTCTGTAACGTTACGTGTAGCTCTTAAAGAAAAATAACAACCCTATAATACACCTTGTGTTGGCACAAACCGGCTTAAACGGGATTTGGGTCAGGACTTTGTTGAGCAGGGTCTAATCGGGCCTAGAAACTCCGGCCAGGGCAGGCCACTGCCTTGTAGAGTTGACGCAAAGGAAACATTTTGCTGTCATTTAGTTGATACATATCTGAAGATTCCTTGTCTTCCCATCAGCCGCCTTCCATTGAGTGTTAGCCATTCATTAAAACATATGATTGAGTGCTATACACTAATAGTATCGGTGAGTATAGCGATACAGTTTCACCTGTGCGTTCTCGGCGCAGAACCTGAAAGACCTGTGGCTGCACGCGGACGCGGTCCCAGGCCCCGGCGGCAAGCCACCCGTCGACGCCTCCACCTTCCTGCGTTACACAACGCCCTTCCACCCGTTCGCCGTTGTATCTCTTGGGTGGACCACCAAGAGCAAGGGTGCGTACTCCTGGCGGAACGTCGAGACGATGGCCCGCCTCACCCGCTGTGGACAACCGTACCTGAAAAGAGTCGCCTTCTCCGTACGCGCCTCAATGCTCGAGAACTCGTTGCCCCAGCTCGCCTGGCTCGTGGACGTCGTCCCAAATTCCACCCTCTCTGTCTGGTACCCGTCATCAGAAGCTCCGCCTACAGAAGCATTGTTGAAACTTCGCCAGACAATTCCGGAGTCGTCCGTTGTCTACGACTTGCCGCGGGACTACCCTTTCGAGAATCTGGTTGACGCTCCCATCATGGAAGAAGACCAGGACTGGAGAATAGACTGGAAGCTGACTGGAGACTCTCCTTGTCAGAAGACCTCGTTGGTCGGAAAGCGCGCAGTGGTCTTGGGAGACCAGGCGGTCTCGGCGACTCTGCCAGACCCATGGGCGAACTTCGAGGCCAAGCTGGACCTCAGTAAACCAAGATCTGTCGCGGTGAGCCTCGGCAAGTCTAAGCTGACACTGGAAGGCCCCTGCTTTTACATGGTTCTCAACAGGAATGGGCAAAAGGTTACAAGTCATGTTTGGGGCATACCCTGCAAGGATAACACCCTGGATCCGGCCAGAAAAGAAAGCCCGGCGGAAATGACCCGCGAGTGGGACTTCGAGAACGCTACGGTACCGCTTGTGTTTGAGTCGTCGCCTGGAGGTGTTGTCTATGCAGCGTACTTCCATTCAGCCGCACCGACTTTGTCCTGCTCGCTAGCACTGGTTTTGATGGCGCTTGCAGTGTTGGCCGTCTGAGGGGGTATAACTGACTGCTTAGGACAGCCTGTGTTCTAACGTGTTGTGCAAGTTAGTGTTCAAAGTTGCCGTCGCCGTCTTCCAGTAAGTTTGTAGAAAGGGACGAATTCGAGCGAAGTATGAACCTCGTGGCTATTGTGAAGCAGCCCCCACTAGCAAAAATTACAACATAATATATAAATGCAAGAGCAAATACCAGGTGAAAATATTGCTTCGAGTGGCTAGTGAAATAAAACACAACATAAATCCTTGAGTGCTCATTTTGAACGCTTTAAGTCGTGAGAAACAAAGAAGATGACAGGCTTAGCGAAATCATGACATTGATGTGTTGCATTAAATTAAATTCGATTAGTATCTCTGGTAAGTCGACAGGGTATGATGATCGCATAGGCAAGTATTATGAATGAAACTGTACATTACAATATATACTCAAGCGAGTTAATGAACTATGAGGGGAACATGGAGTGGCAGCTATTCAAATGCGCACTGACGAAATCTCATGGTGTCGACATTGTGGAACTCTGACAACACCGTAATATAAATCAACGATTGTGTTTTATGCAATAGTTTTATTTAACAGTTTCATGTGAGCCGTGATTTTGTAGGGAAGTTTCCTCCTTTCTTGTGAAACGCAGTCCGTTGGAAATTATGTAGAGAACATAAAACTGCACGGAGTTTGAACGTAGCCGTTATGTAAACACTGACAAACGATCAAAGATTCAGACCAAAATTCTTATATAAAATGAAACGAGAAACGCGATGGCGAGTATATTTATTTTTATTGACAGGCCGAACGTAGACAGCTTACCACTGACCACTTGAAGACAAGGCACAATTTGTTTCTGGTGTATTTAAAACCTGCTGCTCGAGGATAACATATATAAATAAAAAAAATTACCTCCCCCTTTAAAATCAAAAAGGAGGGCCAGGATTGGTGCTTGTGCTGGTGGGGTTGATTTTTACTAATGCGCACAGTAATAATTTCAATCATTGGTTTGCAGGTGAACTTCCACGTGTCCTCAAACGAATTTAATCATACATATCATCATATTACTGCCTCCCTACACTATCCCATTTGTTTGCAATATGAATGTTAGTGCATTCAGGTTGCTCTGCCCTTTCTCCTCGTTGTATTTGAACAAAATGTTGGAACTTGCCATACCAAGTGTATACCCAAATCAAACATGAGTAGTTAATACATTGAATTGCAGTTTGGTGTACCTTCATTCCAAACGGCGTATAGAAATGTACGCTGCGCATGCCGAAGTAAAAATATTTTTCAGATATACTGCACAAAGAAACAAGAACTGTTTAGTGTGCCCGTTTTGTAGAGGTCTTTGAAGAATTGACTGGTTTTGCTCATCTCAAATATGCAGCGTGGGAAACATAAAGATATCAGCAATAATATTCCGCTATGTCGAGAAGAGTGCTCGTTAGCACCATCTGTCTAGCAATATAGAGTTAATGTGTCTATTTAAAGTGCGTTTTATTAAGAGATGTAAATGTTTATAAAATATGTTAATAAAGTTTGATGATATCCATTGCCACTTTGTTAGTAAATCAAATGCTATTATTATGAATTCAATTGAAGGTGAAAAAAGTGAGAAAGACATCTATTCACGGGGTCTTTGAGATAAATATATTTCTAAAAAGGCATGTCATTGAAATCAACCTATTATATGGGCTATTTTCTTTCGGATCTCACAGAAATGTGACGATGGAAAAAACGTTTAAAATATATGCTAGGCTAGCTCTCGACTAAAACAACACTGAAAATTGTTCTTGCTTCAAATATATATTTATCGAAATTTTTCGGATTTCGGCCATCGTTATGATCGCCCAAATCTGAAACTAGCGCGTTGGGGTGTTTTGCCAGGCACACATACACTTAGAGCCACATGAAAACTTCGTACATAGTTTTTTGAACTGGAATAGAAAAGCGAAAATACCATAAAAATATATTTTTGTTTTTCATTATGTATTAAATAAATCTTGGACCTTGCACTTCTGAGGCTAATTTGGCAGGTTTGGATGGTGATTAATTTTTTTACGCTAAACGTTATGGCAGACCTTATATAGTAAACCAGAACTTAACTATGTAGCTATTCAAAAAGTACAACATTGATATTGGCAGTTAAGATTATCGTAGAAAAACAACTTTGAATGCAAAAGGAAACTCTAAAGATAAAAGAAATAACACAAATGTTCTCATTAAGGCAATCTTTAATATTCTTCTTTTCGTACGAAGAGCCCTTCGTAAGGTCTGAAGTATTAAATTGAATTCAGTTGTGAAGCCGTGAATTTGAAAGTACGATATATCTAAAACTTTATTTTGAGATATAATTTAATTGCACCCGTCCCTATTTCGAGCTTTCGTATATAAGTGGAATGACCGAATGATATATATTGACAAGACCTACAGTATAGTGATCTTTTTATGGGCGTCACTGTAGTGGGACAGACGTGCTGTGACGGCGTGAAGAGACTGTTCAATTATCAAACCTCCTTGCACAACTTCAGGTCGACCGAACTTGAAAGGACGCAATAATGACTGTTCGTCTAGTCACCCAGCTGCTCTTGAACCGCCTTGCGAAGGGGGCCCTATATTACTCGACGTACGGCTTCTGGCAGGCTGATGACTTTGAAGTAACCTAACAACTGCTGTATCTGAAAAAAAAAAAAAATGTGAGAAGAATCTGTCGGTAACCTAAAGAATATTAGCATTCGTTTTTTACGTAATCTATTGTAAATTGACATGTACTTTCTTGCGTAATTGCAATTTCAGTGTATTGTTACTTGAATACAAGAGCATCTATTTGCATTTGCTATATGTTTAATGTTTTATTTTAAATTCAAAACAGTTGTGGGAAAAACATACGTGTAAACGTACAATAAATACAGCATTTTTACTCATGCTAAGTCACCCGGAACAATATTTTACATACAGACTATGCGTGTAAAGAAACCAAAAAAAGGCTTTGACAAGCGAGATGGAGTGAGCTCATTGTGCTTTTAGATGACTTAGAATAACGAGCGCAAATAAATTTTCAGCTCGATTGCAAACTGACAACATTGCGCTCTCAATTTGCGTGGCGAGGTTGCAAGCCTAATGAAAAATATTTTTTCTTGATCACCTTTAATATTACAAAGAGGCTCGCGAAGAAAATTGTTTTAGTGTGTTAGGGTTACCAGTAGCAGAATGTTTAATTTTTATCATCACGCGCCTTTTTTCGCTGAATGACAGGCATATGCTCTCTTTACTTTAAAGGTGAGTACCTGTTGAGACAGATCGATTTCGGCATTTTCTATCGGATCACAAGGTTAATTTTATGTTTTATAATGAGTCCGTCTTCCCTACGCACGTAGTGACGGATAAATTTAATGTTAAATGCACTAAAGACATACTATATGCACGGTTTTAAATGCGAACAGTTTGCAGTTCTGTTTCTGTCTAGCTGTTTCCCAACCAGCTGCAGCAAACAGTGGTGCCGTATCATGCAAGATTTTATGTACGGCTGTTTACAATTTAAACTAAACGTAGCTTGTCAACGCCTGGTGTAGGCGACGGGTTGTTCGGTTTTGTGTTGTGCGTTTGGTGCCCGCGTTTCTTGGTCTAGGCTCGCGCTAGCCGACTTGTTAAGTTCCATGGCGCCACTACTGCAGACGCCTCCCCCCCCCTCTCTCTCTTCCCCTTGTACAAGGGGCCTGGGGCACTTGTGCTGGAGGCGTGGAGTAGGCGACAGCGTATTCCTTGTACATTGGTGAAGCAGTGTCAAGAGGTGATAGAAATGCAGGTTTCAGGCGATCCAGTAAAACAGTCTCTCGACGTCCCTTTTGAATCACCGTGTAGAAAATTGGCCTCTACCGCCCGGCAAACCTTGTGGACAATAGTGTATGGCCCGTCGAAGAGGGGCTTCTTGGCAGCATCCCAGCGAATGAGCATGTGCATAGACTGGGCGAGAGCAGGATGTATAAAAACTCGTTGTGGGAAGAGTTGTCGTATTTGCGTCGGGCGCAAAGATGGCATAGTGAATGATCCACGACCACCACACACACAAGAGAGAAACAGAGCTACGCGTCGGCCACATTAGACGATGTCCCCGTCCGTCTTCATTAAATTCTAAATAGATGTACATAAAATCTTGTATGATACCGTACCACTGGTTGCTACATAGTTGGTGACCCGGACGTGATCTACACTGTTGGCAAGTCCCGTGTATTATGTGAATATTTGTAGGTGAAATACAGTGTCCAAAAAAAAAATTACAGTGTTTTTCACAGCAAAAATAAACTATGCATCGCCGAGCGCTCATTCTCCGCCCAAAGGTAGCACTAAAGGTCACAACCAGATGCCAAAGTTTCCGCCAGATCCGATACCTTATTCAAAAGTTATAAGTGATTTTCTGAAAATGTCAATGGGAAAATGAAGCCCATTTTTGTCCGTTTTCAGTTTCTGGTCCCCCCCCCCCCCCCCCCCCCTTCTCCCCCCCATAGAGCCCCATGTATTCAAAAACCCCGTGGGCCGCCATTATCCCATTGAACTTCTCAGAAAATCACTTGTAACTTTTGAGTAAGGTATCGAATTGGGCTCAAACTTTGGCATCTGGTTGTGACCTCTAGCGCTACCTGTGGGCGGAGAATGAGCGTTCGGCGAAGCCTAGTTAATTTTTGCGGAAAAAAAAAAAACTATAAATTTTTTTGTGTCTGTGACACCCTGTATACGTTATTTACACAAATTAACATAAATGTACACCTGGTATAATGAATGGTTTGTTAAAAAAATCATGTGTGATTGTAAAAGATGTGTTTTCGTTAGTCTTACACCCCTAACCATGCGGCCGAGTTCGGGAACAGACATCGCCACCGACACGGCGACCGCCATGTTGATTTTGATTCAGTCAAGGAGAGGCGAGACTACAGTGGCTTAAAGAGGGTAGTGTAACGAACGAAACCGGAGAAGCGGCACAGCGTTGGAAGACGGCTGCGGGTGGCGCCTGTGCTTGCTGCACCGTCGTTCCGGCTATGGCCTCCGGCTTGGCCGCTTGGTCAGCTTGGCTCCGGCCAGCTCCGGCCGATTCGCAGCTGTCGACTACACTGTCGTCTGCTAGTTTCACAGTTTTATGCTCCTTCAAACACAAATCGTGTCGTCGGAAGTTTGCTGGAAACAAATAATTGTTTTTGAGGTATTTATATTAGTTATGAAGCGTGTTTAATGTGCCTCTACCTGCCGGCCGATTGAGGCACCCAACGGAGCTGCGGATCGAAGCGCCACCTACATCGTCTTCCAAGGAGTGGCCGTTCCCGATGCATGGTGGAGGCTACGCGATAACCACACTACCCCCTTTAAGCCACTGTAGTGAGACCAAGGACGTTCAGTACGTTGTATGAGACAGGGCCACGGCGTATTACTCTTTAGGTGAGGACAGTTCCCGACGCGGAGGGACCAGATAAATTAATCTGAACCACAGAGACCCGCAGAGCCCGCGGCCGCTAGCGTTGTCGCTGTTCTCTTCAGGACGTTTAAAGCGACGGCGAAAAATTTCAGCCGGCAGGCCGGGCGGGCCAAGACAAATAGATGCGGTTGGGACGATCGAAGGTACTGAATATTTATCCATTTTAATGGAAGTAGTCGCTTTAAAATTAGCTTTTCATTTTCAGTCCGCGATACAGGTGTGCCAAGTGTGTTCGACATGGGATTCGGAGCAAACAAAAAGCGCCGAAAAAATACAGGGACACAGACGAAGAGAAACAGGAAAAAGAGCTTCATAAAGTGCCACATCTGCGCCGGACTAGATCTGGTGATTTGCAGCCACTATTCGGTCGTACTGAGCGGCATCGAAACTCCTTTTCACCAGGGCTGTAACACTTTGTCGTTCTCTGCCAAGGGAACTGACGGAGTGCCGGCTTCTCGAGCAGCAGGACATCAAAGCTTGTAGCAAGGATGGCATGAAGACATCCGGCCACTCCCAAGAACAATGACTTGCACTCCCTCTTTCTTTCTCCCCACCCCTATGTGCGGGTGCGTGTGTGTGTGGGCGCGCGCTTGAGTGTGTGCGTGCATGTGCCCGCGAGCGTGCTTTTGTGCATGTGCGTGTGTGCATGCAAATGTGTGTTTCGTATCAGAATCTTGTTTTGGTTTGTAGTAATGCAGCGCCACAGGCCTCAGGTATGGGCCAATGACCTTTCTGGGGTGTCACAGTCCCTCTGGGTTGAATAATGATCATTATTCATAATATTATTATTATTATTATTATTATTATTATTATTTTAGAGCTTCACTAATGCGCGGTTCTGTAAGTTTGGCAGCATGTGTGTTCCCTCAAACGAAGCTCAAACAAACTGATCTTGTAAGAAATCTGTAAACAATTAACAAACAGATCTGCCTCAATTGCAGTAGATATAACTGACATGTCTGAATACGTAGTGCGTCCTCAGACGTCGGAGCCGACTTTTCCCGTCGGATTGATGCGGCCGCCAAATCAACTGCGTAGATTTGGCGGCACGGGTCCTTAGAACCGTGTTATCTGCGGATGCCGCGTGT